AGGAATTATTATTTCCTGCGGCAGCTGTAAATAGATCCTTCACAGCTTGTTCTCTGTTACTCCCTCCTCCTCGTTCATCCTTGCTGAACCCTGCGCTTTCCCTCAGGTCCGGCAGACACCCTGCCCTGCCAGGGAACGGTCAGTGTGGGTGCTGGGCACCACCTTCTCCCTACGCAATACCAGGCAGCAGAGACTCGAAGCAGAGGGCTCATGACCCAGCCGGAGACGGAAAGTTATTCATCTCGACTAATTGCTGGTTTCGGTGATGTTTGCTGAATTTGGGAACGGATCGTGGGTGATTCACAAGGAAAAGAAAAAGGACTTGCAAGAAATACTATTGACAATGAATAATTCAACTACCTTGAATATGAATGCTGGGTTACACTTAACTCTCTCCTGGAGATTTTTTATGGCTTTGTGAAAGGAAAGAGGAAATTTGGGATGAGCCAGCCTGCTCCTTATGGGGAGCCCTCATACCTACAGGGAAACCCCAGTACTGCAGCAGGGGGGCATGGCCAAGCAGAGGGATGGACCCGCTCCCACATTTCCATGGAAGCCCATTGGAGGTGGACTGGGCTGTCCCACAGCACTGGGATAGCCCGGAGTTGTGCTGCTGCATGGGGAGGGAGCATAAGTGGGGTGCATGGGGTGCAAAGGAGATGCTGGTGATGCTCCTAGCACAGCCGCCAGCCCCCTCCAGCCTCGCTGTGCGTTTAAAGTCTCTCCTTCTCATCCCCAAAAGACCAGGCAGAGGAACTGCTCAGGCAGCCAAATGGAGCCATTTGCGGGGCCAGTGGGAAGGGTTTTGGCTTTGGGATCAAGGCAGGGCCAATGGCTGTGTGGGGAGAGGGTATCGTTACCATTGTTAATGTATAACCCTAATAGCACTCACCTCAGCCGTGATTAGATAAGGGAATAGCTTTAATGTGCTGTGCAAACCCCAAAGGACACGCTCCTGAGTGTGCATGCACATGTACTCACACACACGTGGGCAAACAGGGTCCCGACCCCCAACCCACATCCGCTCCCCATGGCAGCCCTGCCCCAGACGTGAGGATGCTGGAGCTCCTGCCCTGGACCACGCCTGCTGGGGAAGCAGGGACAGGGGAAGGGAAGATCAAAGCAGGTACCTGTGCCCACCATCCTCAGCTCTGCACACCCATGGCCAATGGCAGGGGCTGCCAAACACCCTAACAAATAGGCTACAGGGTGGTGGGGTGTTTTGTGGCTGGTGTTGAGCATCGAGTCACAGAATCACAGCATGGTTTGGGATGGAAGGGACCTTAAAGCCCCCCCAGTCCTAACCCCTGCCACGGGCAGGGACACCTTCCACTAGACCAGGTTGCTCCAAGCCTCATCCAGCCTGGCCTTGGACACTTCCAGGGATGGGGCATCC